GTCTGCAGCTGGCATGATTCTCTGTCTGTGTGGTTGTGCTTCATGTTGGAGCACCAAATGTTGTTTTTAACAAAATCTCAATCGTTTGATTTTACCAATAAAGACTCAGGAGCCAGATGCTGGTGTGAAAGTCTGCTAGCTCAGAGAGGTAGAGAAAGCTCCCAGCTGACCTTCCTCTTCCACCAATGCCCCAGAAAAAGACTTTTCTCCTCTGCAGTCTCAAACAAGACTCCTCCAACTCAGCATCCCTTCCTTCTACTTCCTTTGTATCTCTGTCTGTGTCCTCCTGACTTCCTCGCTCTCTCTGTTTTTTTTTTTCCTGTCAGCTGGTTGCTTGCCCCACCTCTTGACCTATGGTTGGCTGCAGATGAAACATGATCATTTGCCTAGAACCCCTGCAGCCATGATTTTCCCACCAGGGTGAACTATACTCTCAAGCATGAGCCAGAAAACCCTGACCTTCTTTAAAGTGTTTTCCCCACCTTTCAGCATGGTGCTAGTCAATGTGATAAGGGATTTTTGAAAAAAGGAAATGAAAGGCATAGGTCATTGTCAGATGATGTAATGGCCTCCAAGAAAATCTCAACACAAATGCAAAGAAGCTGAGTTCTTCAAAGTATAGAATCAAGGAAAGTATAAAAATTAGTTATGTGATTTTATATGAAAATGAATATAGGGTATTACAAGAAAATAAAATACCATTTATAATTACCAAAAAAAATGGACATTTAGGAACTGGTAAGATGGTGTGGAGGCAAAAGCCCTTGTCGAGCAAGGCTGCTGACATGAGTTTAAAGCTTAGAGAGAAGCAAAATTGTCCTCTGACCTTCACACATGTGTCACTGGCATGTGAACCTCTCCACACCACAGGCAATAATAATAAGGAATACCTAAAATTTATGTAAAAACAATATTGATATGTCTACCCAATAAAGCATATAGGACTTGTATTCTGAAGTTAAAATATTTGGTGCAAAATAGCTAAGAAAAATCTCTATGCTCATATATTAGAAGGGGCAACAGTAGGCAGTTTTTCCTAACTTAACAGATAGTTTTCATGGGAAAAATGTGTTTGAAGATGTGTATATGTATGCACCTCTTTGTCTGGATATGTGGTACATACATGAAGGTAGCATTGGAGGCCAAAGAGAGTTCTGGGGTCACTGGAACTGGAGTTGCAAGCAGTTATGAGCAAATCCGCAGGAGTGCTGAAAACCGAACCCAGGTCCTCTGCAAGAGTGGCACTTGCTCTTGGCCATCTCTCTCATCTCTGAAGGAAATTCTTACTAAAATCTCAGCAGTATATGTGTAGACATTGTGGTAGTTTGAAAGGAAAATGTTGCCCATAGTCTTGAGCATTTGAACACTTGGTCGCCCCTGGTGGTATTTGTGAGAGAATTTGCAGGGTGTGGCCTTGTTGGCGGAAGCACGTCATTGAAGGTGTCTTTGAGGTGCCATTTTCAGTTCTTTCTCTGCGTTGTGCTTGTTGGTCTTAGTCACTGTTCTACTGTAGTAAAGAGACACCATGAATACTGTAACTCTTATACAGGAAATCACTTAATTGGGACTTGCTTACCCTTTCAGAGATTTAGTCCATAACTAGCATGACAGGGAGCATGGCAAAGTACCAGCAGATATCATGGTGCTGGAGAAGTAGCTGAGAGTTCTACATCTGGCTCAGCAGGCAGCAGGAAGAGAGAACCACTGGGCCTGGCTCAGATTCTTGACACCTGAAAGCCTACTGCCAACAAGGCCACACTTCCTGACCTTTCTCAAGTACGTATTCCCTGATGACCAAACATGCAAAAATGTGAGTCTATTGGGGCCATTCTTATTCAAACCACCACAGTGCTTTTGGTTCAAGATGTGAGCTCTCAGTTTTGTGCTTCAGCCTTCATGCCTGCTTCTTTGCTCCGGCAGCTACATCTCCCTTTGGTGACAGACTCTTACCCTCTGGAACCCTAAGCCTGAATAAAGACTCTCTTCTCTAAGTTGCTTTGGTCATGGCATTTTATCACGGAAACAGAAAAGTAACTAATGCAGACATAGGCATTATTATAATGTGTATACTTCGAAGCAAAGGAATGAGATTATCTGAAATGGATTTGAAGAAAAAAAATAAAGCAGGAGGACTCATTGTACCTGATTTCAAGAATTATTCCATAGTTACTGTTAAGACCATATGATACTGGTGGAAACATATGGATCAATAGAACAGAATATAAAATTCAGAATTAATTCCACTAATTTTTGATAAGTAAACCAAAAGAATTTAGTAAAGACAGGCTATTGGAGGAGTTAGGGACATGTCCCCAGTTATGTGGTCCTGGCATAGTGGTTACTTCAGGCTGAAACGTTGTCTTTCTAACACCAGGAGTGGAAAGCCTTTATCACTGAAGATGGATGAGGGCAGCCATAAACCTTCAGAGATAAGTTCTTTACAAGACCCTTGTCTTTCACTAGCATTTACATCCATCCCATCTACATCCTAATTGCTTCCCTTGGGTTTACTCCCTGGTTCAGAGGTCCATTTGGCCTGTCATTTCTTCATCAGTTTATTGTTCTTTATCTAAAACACATAAAAACCCCATGCTTTGCTTGTATTTTTCACTTTAGTGTCTTGGGCAGATCTCCATGAGCACATAAAATTAACACTGATCATGTTTCCTCTTGCTAATTAGCTCCTGTATTTGTTTGATTGCTAGGTTCAGCTAAACAACTCATCCAGGATTACTACAGGGTAATGTACAGGCGATTTCTTACTCCTTTCAAGTCTCCTCAACAAATAATGCTTGAGCAGTTTGGTACGAGAAAAAGGAACTCCAGTGAGAGTCTTTTACTTCACACAAATAAAAAGGAGCTTGGAATGTAGTGGGGTGTCCTGTAGTCCACGCTACTCAAGTCTCAGAGACAGAAAGACCTCTTGAGAGAGGAATTTGAAGCCAACATAGGCTACACAGTTAGTTCCCAGCCTGACTGGACCACACAGTAAGACACTGTATTAGAAAACACCAAAACAAACACAAAGAACCAAATAAAAATGGGATGTTTTCAAAATTAAAACTGTTTGTTTTGACAAATATGATGAGAGGAAGAGCCACAAATGGGTAAAACAAATCACACTTCTGGCTGAACTCACCTAATACATATGAGAGCCAAAGTTACATTTTAAGTTTTAATCACTATGCCTAAGAAAGCCATGAAACAAAAATGCCTCTGATCTGTAAACCTCTTGCCCAAGGACAGATAGTTCCTGAAATTCTGGTGGCTATTGTTTATGGGAGATAACAATCCATATGTTTTTCACTCCCCTAAACAAGTTTTTTTTTGGCCCAACCACACTGGATGTGTTTGATTACATGTGGGCAGGAGGTTCATAGGCAGGAAATATGTCAACATGCATGCTTGCCCCTTATTGGACCTGGTGGAAAATTCAATACATTACGGGTTTTCCTTCTTAAGCTGACACAAACTGATTCTGTGCCATTTCCAAGGAACCTGGGTATGGACCTGGCCAGAGTCCATCCACCTGGCCAGTATTTAATTAAAGCTTGCTTCAAATTTGCTTTAAACTGTGGCAGTGGTCTTATTATCCATCGGTGAGATTAACATGCTCCCATAAAATTCTTTTTTATAAAACAAAATACTTTCAAAACCCATTATTACCAAAGCAAAGAAAGAGGGAATCCCAACGGTTTAAATAAGTACATGGAAAGATGCCTCAGACTAATTAGGACACCTATTAGAAGTCAGCACAACAGAGAACTACAAAGCCAAAACTGGTGAGGCTGTTGAAACTGGGTCCCTCAGGATTGCTGGAAGAATGTGAAGTGCATGATGACTTGGTAGTTTCTGACAAACTGATCATACAGTTACTTATATTTCCCAGCAGCCACACTCCTTGTCTCAGCTCCAGTATCTTCTGGTTTTGACAACTTGTTAGAACTGTGTGAAATCTCCTTCTCGGGAGACAAGTTCCTTTTCTGGCTGACACGGGACTTCAGTGTTTTCCTTCTCCCATTATGAGATTCCTACAGAAATTCCAATTTGAAGGGCAATGTCTCAGCAATCTGGTAGTTAAGGGGAGGGGCAAAAGTGTCTCTCTCTGGAATACCTTTGCTCCTGCCGGGATGATGACAACAAAACAAATCGATACAGTTCACTTCTTGGATGAGTTTCAAGGGCAAGAAGACAAGTGAAAAAGCCAGTCTCAAATATAACATCTTGTGACGTCAAAATAATTCAGGAATGAGGCAGATTTCTCATTACCAGGAGTTAGACATGGTAAACATGCGAGTGTAGTTCCAGAACACAGTAGCAGCTAGAGCTTGTGACAGGGATGTTATGTTTGGAGGTCACACACTTGCACACACACCAATCCTAAAAGTAGAAGGGATTGCATTGCATTGGTGTGGATTTCTTTTGTTCCTTCTTTTATAATAAGCTCTTGTTATGTGGCTAATGTTGGCATGGAACTTCCTATGTAGCCCAAACTGGCTCCAAATTCTTTATCCTCGTGTCTTCACTTTCTGGGGCTGGTTCTGTTGCTTGTTTTGGTATTGTATAGTTACATTAATATGTAGCCACTGCGGGAGCTGGGTGAGAGATGCAGAGAGAATATCCGTTAATATATAGCATTTAGTCCATGTCAAAAGGGCAGGGGAGTGCCAGGCTGGCAAGTGTGTTGCTCAGACCTCTGATCTGGCCTCACTAGTGCCTGTGACCCCACCCTTGCTTCCCGCGCAGACTCAGAAAAGCCTCTCCCCGCCCTGCACTCAGGCAGCGGGTGATTGTGAAGGGCACCTCTTGTAGCCAATCCACATTCCCACACTGGGCTGGGGGGCGTGATTGAACTAGGGCGTCGATTGAGGGCGGGAGCACCAGACTGGCCAATCCGCGGAGGTCGTGCGGTCCCTGCCCAGTTTGAGGCTCCACCTCACTGCCCTGGGCACTGGTCCCGGTAAGGCTCGGAATGTCCCTGGCGGAGGCAGCTCAGAAGTGAGTAGCACACTACCCTGTACGGCTTTGTCTCAGGGCCCGGGAGGTTCACTGTTAAGAGATGGCCGGGCAGGCAGACAAAGATGTGAAGTACTACACCCTGGAAGAGATTCAGAAGCACAAAGACAGCAAGAGCACCTGGGTGATCCTGCACCACAAGGTGTACGATCTGACCAAGTTTTTGGAAGAGGTGAGCTGGGCGCGCGCGCTCCAGTGGGGCGCGGGGAGGGTGGCCCAGGCTTTGGGTCTCCCAGGCGTGACCTGGGACATATATCTGAATATGCGTTATCAGTTAGTGCGCATTTGTTTGCGTACATTTAGAAGGGCCCTCCGCGTCTGCACACTTGTGTTCGCTTCTGAGCATGCTCACCTGCGTGTGCACACCTGTATCCTGTGCTCCTGAGCGCCTTGGGTTTGCACACCTGGGCATGTCTCCGGGCGGTCGGTCTGGAAGCATCCTAGCAGTGTGAGCGGTTTTTCCAGGCTGCTATGGGCGTAATACTTGGGGGCCAGAGCTGGATTTCTACGTGGTGCTCAGGAATGTCCCGAATAAACGCTCCTCACTTGCTAGGAGAGGGCACAACCGTATAAGGATTTAAAAAAATCCTTACCGTGTTTCTGAATGGACTTCTGATATCAGCCGGTTGGAGACTGCTGGTCTAAAGAATTGTGGGGTTCGCTAGGGTCGGAAGTCCAGGAGATTTCACTCCCCAGGGTCACTCTGAAGTCCAGACCTTTATGTTCATCAGTGTTCACTCCACAGACTGAATGTTGACAACCTTAAAGCAGTAATGACTTGCCCAAGAGCCCCAGCGCCGCCGGATGGCTGGGGGCAGGGCAGGAGACTCCCTGGCCTGTTCTTTGAGATAGGACAAGGGTAGGCAGGTAGGCAGCATGGTGCAGTCATAACACTGGAGATTCATTCTTAAGCCACTTTGAAGTTGTAAAATGGCTTACCTAAGGAAGGCGCTTCCCTTGGCAATGCTGGTCTCAAGACTGTAGTTTTTGCTGCACAGCCCAGGGTGCATTTTATAGTTTTAAATCTTTATTCCCTCTGGACACACTTTTGCTTTGAGGGCATTTGGAGTCACAACACAACTTTTACATCCCACTTCTTCCCAATAAATAAGAATGTTAATTGATGGGGATGGTTTGCATGTGTTTTGTTTTGTTTGTGGGGTAGCCGAAATAGAGGCTGAGTCTTAGATCATGATTTACATCAAGAGACATTTGTTTTGCAGAGAATGTTTCAACAAACACAGGAAAAACTTGAGAGCTTAGAGTTGATGTCTCTTGGTGAAATACTTGACTGTTAATGATAAAATGGGGTTCTGATTTAGGTGGGAGCGGATTGCAGTATGGACTCAAATCTGCCTCCCTTCTGCTGAGCCCAGAGGAGTTTTGCATCATAGCATCTCAACCTAACATCTCCACATGACCAGCCCAGGCCCATGTGACTAACTCTTCACATGGAACTGTCCCTTTAGCCCCATCCCATGAGATTCTGGAATTTTATAATATAATGTGTCCCTTCACTTTGTATATATAATAAAGTGTAGCATTTGTACAAAACAAAACACTGGGATATTTATACTATGAAGTCCTTTCAAACAAGGTCTTTAGACCAGGGTACTACTGATTTTTAGGTTGCCTCCCTGTCCTGCACTCACTGGATACCCATTCTAACAGTGACAACCACACTGTCTCCAGATCCCATGTCATGCAGTTGCTTCTGATAGAGAATCTCTGGCCTAAAATACATTGTGTGTTTTAAAAGTAGATCTTTGAAGTAGATAGCAAGAGATTATTAATTACACTCAAAAGCGTTTATTCTCTTGTTTAATCTCACGAGGTAGGAAAGGGGCGAGAGGATCCCACAGGTTTTCTGGGCTTAGCCGAAGTGCCAAGAAGCAGCTGCTTGGTTGGAAAACAAATCTTTTGTCTCCCTAAGTTATCAGCACCCCATCTTTGAGAGCAGCTTGGGAGGAACAGCTTCTTGAGCAACATGGGGAAGCTCCCTGGGAGCCAGTCAGCTAGGGAGATGATGGAGATAGTTGAGTTTCGGAGACACAGATGGTTGGGTTCTGTTGACTGAAGGGTTAGAGGGACCAAGGAATCTGCCTGCTTTTCCGACCCCCGGCCTCACTGTGTGTGAGTGTTCCGGCATGTTGGAATGGAGCAGGAGCATTTCCCGTGACTCAAGGTTCGCAGTCTGTCTAGATTCTACCTGGTGTGGACACGTTCTCCTCCTGACATTTTTATAACTTGCTTTTACTACTTATGACAGCTCGTTTTACACAGTGTCCTAGTCCTTGGCTTTCTGCACCCCAGGGCAGTGTTGCCTTTAGGGTTCCTGTGTACCCGTGCTGTACTGTCCCTGCAGATGACTGCCCGTGTCTGTTTGGATTACAGCTTTCACACACGTCTCATTCAGCTTACCTTCGAGGACATGCTGCCATTTTTTCTTCTTTCTAGAGTCCTTCAGTTTCGATTATCTTGTGAGGTCTATGTGGGCTATCACAGGCTTTGGCTTGAAACAGAGATATTTTTCCCAGACTCAGAGTGTCTGGCCTTCTGCCCCGATTTTCCCTGCCTTTCCCTCCCTTTCCTCTACACTCCAAGGCTCCAGAAACCTCATGAAGCACACAAACTGAACACTAGTCTATCCTTGCTAATTTACAAATGGAAGAAAATGGGAGGAGCACACCTCCACATGGAGCTGTCTGTCTCCACAAGCTCTGTGTTCTAATCCATGCAGCCATGCTTTCTCCTCCTCTAAGAATGCCTCGTTTCTGTTGAGGAAGCGTGCGCTATGACGTTGGCTCCTGCTCTGCTGTTTGCCTTCTGGGCCTTGGATCTCTCACAGGCAAAGGGAGTAAAGGGAAGACTGTAGCAGGGCCTGCTTGCAGCTGACATAGGAATTAAAGCATTGACCAGTGTAATGTGTCTGCCTGTAATCCCATCACTCCAGGACCCAGAAGTCAGAGGCAGGAGAATTGCCAAGAGTTAGAAAGGCCAGCCTGGGCAGCAGTGACAATCTGTCTCCAGAAACCAAAACTAGAAAAAAATAAAAAGCAAAAAAACCCAAAAAACAAAACAAAACAACTTTTGCTAAATGCAAACCAAGGTGAATGTTTCCGCTCCTTTGTAAACTGCAGTCGGGGACAGACTTGGGCTGTGATTTCCCTTCTGCAGCGTCATGTGTAGTTTGAGAGCTGTGTTTTTAAGTAAATCCGGGAGGTAATCTTGAAATAGGAGAGTATTGGAAAAATTATCTATCTAGTTGAGAACACAGACTGAAGGTTGCTTGTGCAATGTGAACTCTGTCTTCCTGAAATAATGTTGAGGGTCAAGGGACAGGTACAAATTCAAGAGGGAGGGCAGGCCAATTACAGGCAGTCTGAACAGCAGCGGGGTCACAAGTCTCCTTACCTATGTATCTTGAGCCCCCCTCCCTTTTTTTCCTCATCCTGACCCCTAGGTTTTTAGTTTATGCTTGTGAAATTGAGTCTTGTCAGATCAGATCATGTTATTAACCAGGTTAATGATTATAGAAATTTGAGAGATCATTATTTGAAGTGAAAACAGGTGTTTAGGGCCAAAGACCAGGTTTGTATTTCTCTCTTCTGTGGTTGTCAGGGCCAGCTTTTAGCAGAGCTGTGGGAGGGAGGGGAGAAAGCATCATGTAATAACCCTGTTGGTTACCTTTCTGTTCTGGGTAGTGCTGGTTTGTAACATAGATACACCCCTGGACCCTGTCATCATGCAGGTTGGTCCTCCCCCCATAGAACATTTTCTAGTCATCCTGAGAGTCTGCTATTTTTAAACTGAGTCTTGGATATTCTTTGAAAGCATTCAGCCTTGCAGAAGCCATTGGCTTCTAACTCATTTTGGCTTTTGGGAGTCTTAATGAAATTTCGATGTCACATTTTGTGGCAGCTTATCTCCCGTAGACATATAAATGTCAGTAATAGCAGTGGCTGAGGCATCCTGGGTAAGCAGGTAGCAAAGTGACATCCTGCAAGCCACATGGGTACTGCACCTAAATGTCTTTTAGGTGTCTCTACTGCTTGGGGAGGGGTACATTTTATGAAACCAGATCCCAGTTTTGTTTTAAAACATTAAAAACCAAAACAAAGGCACCAAATCACACTTGAGGCACCTAAATCTCGCTTTTTTTTTGTTTTTGTTTTTTTGTCTTTAAAGTGAGGAAAATTTTATAGATAAGGAAATAAAACAGGTTATACAGGCCAGTGGGGGTAAAGCAGGAACTAGGTAAGACGCTAATCACTGCTTAATATAAATGTCTGTTATTCTAGAAGACTGGGAGACAGCCCATAGTACTTCTCTTGTGTAAGAGAATCTGAATAACTCTGGTTCTCCACTCATGGGAACACGTTGGGCTGTGGTGGCAAGCCTCCTTCTGGTCTTAAAACACCGGGAAAAATAGTTCTCATGAAAAATGTATAAAGAGAAGGTGTTCAGACAATTAAAAACCTGGATTTTTTTCTTGTTATTTGTGTTTGTTTTGCTTTTGTATTGAAGATTGCACTCAGGCCTTAAGCATGCCAGACAAGCCACGAAGCCCCGTCCCCACTCCTTGACCTTTTGTTTTACTGTGAGACAGGTCTTTCGCAGATTGGCCTTCAGCATGTGGTCCTCTTACCTCAGCCTCCCGAGTGCTGGGATTACCGGTGTATGCCACAATACCCACTTCACGTGATTACATTTGGATTGCTGTCTTCTTGGGGTGAGGGTATGACTTAATGGCAGAGTATTATATAGCATGCTCAAGGCTGTGGATTTGATTCCCCAGTACTTGGAAAATAGTTCCCAGAATAAGTTGTCAAGAATTTTTGTTGTGTGTGAAGTCCAGTCTTAATTCAATTTATAATTAGTGATTATACTGCTCACCAGAAAAAGAGACTGTTCGAAATATAAATATCCTTCTGAAACGTGACATCAAGAGTGAGAGGAAGAAACCACAGCTGGAACTCCACCCCCCTCTGGTACTCTGGTAGCCTAGCAGAACAGCCTGACGAATGTTCTTGTGTAATTCCGCAAGTGTGAGCGCACACCTGCACTTGCTCATGGGTGTGCTTCCTGGTAGTGGAAAGAGACTCTCCATGCTGTTCTGTCATCTGTCACTTTCCCCACTGAACTCTACTGAGGATCCACTGTGGGCCAACT